ACGAGAGAACGAGAGAACGAGAGAACGAGAGAACGAGAGAACGAGAGGGTAAGGCAGAGAGGGAGGGAGACACAGAATCCAAAGCAGAATCCAGGCTCTGAGCTGTCAGCACACAGCTCGACATGGGCCTTGAACACACAAACGAGATCATAACCTGAGCCAAAGTCAAGATGTTTAACCAACTGAACCACCCACGTGCCCCCATTTCTGCTAACCTTTAAAAACTAACTTGCTGGGGCACCTACATGGTTCAGTCAGTTGAGCATCCGACTTCGGCTCAGGTCATGATCTCACGGTTTGGGAGTTCAAGCCCCGTGTTGGGCTCTGTGCTGACAGCTCAGAGCCCAGAGCCTGCTTTGGATTCTGTGTCTCCCCCTCTTTCTGCCCCTGCCCTGTTCGTGCTCTCTCAAAACTAAATAAGCATTTAAAAAAATAAACTCACTTGCTAACTCTATCAAAGAACGTCTCCAACTATTTGAAATGCCTGTTAAAATGCTTTTTTTCCAATTACATCTGTGGGGGACATTACTTAGCCAAACCAACAGCAGCACAACGGACTGAAAGCAAAGCACCGCAGTCCAACAGGGTCTCATTAAGTCTGATGTTACAGAAATCTCCAATATGTGCAACACCATTCATTTTGTCTTGTAAAAAAATTTTTTTTAATTGGAAACTGGTGTTAACATGTAAGGGGTTTGTTGTTTTAACATTTTGAAGAATCCGACTCTCGCTTTCAGCTCAGGTCATGATCTCACGGTTGGTTTGTGAGTTCGAGCCCTGTATCAGGGCTCAGCACTGTCAGTGCTGTTTGGGATCACGTGTCTCCTGCTCTCTGCCCCTCCCCCACTATGCACATGCTGTCTCTCAAGACGAGTATTTCGACAAATCCACAGGAACAAAAGCTGAGTCCCCAATAGTTTTAGGATCAAGGGGCCCTGAGACTTTCAAGTTTAATACATGGCCCTTGTACAATACACATATAGTTAACACTACTCAACTATTTAAAAAGTTAACACTGTTTTTAACCACAATATAAAATTAACTTTTGAAAGGACCATGGATTGGATATCCATATTCTCATCTATTCCTCGATATGAATATATCATTTCCATATAACTGAAAGCAGTTTATATATGCTTTTTATTTGATATTATATAGCAATGTAATGCTTCTAATTTTAAGGGCTGCATATGATCTGTCATAATAAAAGGTTTCCTTGTTTGAAAAAAATAAAAACCATGGGCTTAATTTATATTTAAAATTTCCAAATGTCCTTTAATATTTCCAAGTAAAAGTGATTTCTAGTGTCACAGGACATAATGTTTCTAGTAACCTTGGCTTCTCCAATATATCTTGCTGTCATCTCTCAGGGTTTGTCGTTAATACTAAAACCAGTGCAACAACTTATCTTTTACTGGCATTCAGTTATCTACTCACGATTTTGTCAGAGTACCTTCTAGACGATGCTAGAAATACAGCGACTCTGACCCCATGGAGATTAGACCCCAGGGGCATTTACCCACCCAACTGCATTCATTCAATAAATAACAATCTGTTATATACCAGGCACTGTATTTGGCAGGCACCTCAGAATCAAAATGTTAATATACTTAATTGCACTTATCAGGGATACGCATTCCCTTAAGTGTTGCCAATTTTTGCTTATTTCACATTTCTTTGGAATTCTGACTTTTCTTCATCCTAAATTTGAAGGCTACTGCTATATTCATTTTTCCTGTCCACAATTTCATGAAAGAATGTCAATAATCAGAAGGACTATGCTGCACTCAGCCACCACTCTGACACTTTCCTTTTTTCCCCCAGGGAAAGAAGTGGTTCCCCTGCCCAGGAGCTCAAGGAAAGCCAGCCTCTAAAACAAGGACATCCAGAGTCCACCTCTGGAGGCTGCCTGATGGATAGGATGACCCCAACCTGTCTGGATTTCCTTGTAAAACTAACCAGGCAAGTGAAGGCACATATAAACACTACTCTCAAAGTCATTAAAGCAGGATTTCCCGAGGAAACTTAAAGGTAATTGTCCATTAGTTACACAGGCTGAACAGAAAGGACTACTTTAGAAATTCAACTTCCTAACAAGGATTTTTAATTCAATTACTTTAAAAAAAAAAAAAAGCAGCAACATGTACAATAAAAAAACTGGCCAGAAACTTGTTATGGGAGGGAAGGATGGCCACACAAATCAATGTCAGGTCTGAACCTGAATGATTTTGCTCTTCCCAAAGGGTATATAAACTCCTAAGAAAATCTAGGTACAGGGCATAAGGGAATTTAGTTTACAAGATACAGGAAACAATTTTTTCTTAACGTTGATTTATTTTTGAGAGAGAAAGAGCACGGGCACATGCACCCACAGGGAGGGGCAGAGAGAGAGAGAGAGGGAGGGAGGGAGATAGAAACAGACTCCTAAGCAGGCTCCAGGCTCTGAGCTGTCAGCACAGAACTTGACTCAAGGCTTGAACTCAGGATACAGGAAACCAATTTAAAAGGGGCATTACTCTGCGTGTTATACAGACAACTCGGTTAGACAGCAGTATTCACTCCTTCAGTAAGGACTGGACTACAAAGCACTAAGATACTAAAAACAAGCATCCCTTTCATCAACAGGACTTGTCAACATAGCAGAAAACAGTGGAGCTCTAGAGTCAACTAAATTGGATTCAAATCCTTGTTCTGCCACTTGCTTAACACGATTTAATTCCCTTTCCTTCGTTATTAAAGCCTCGGTTTCGTTACCTGTAAAACAGGAACCAACACTAAACTCACAGAGATAATTATGTAAGTTACAGAACACAAGGAAAGGCTAATGATTGCGGTTTCTATTTAGAAAGCCAGGCAGCAAGCTCAAATACAGAAATAAGGCAACAAACAACACATGTATAGTGACCACTAAAGGAACTGAAAGCAATCGCTTCGGTCTTAGGTGGTTAGGGAAAAGGTCCAAAAAAAAAAAAAAACTTAGGAGCAGGGGCACCTGGATGGCTCAGTCGGTTAAGCATCCAACATCGGCTCAGGTCATGATCTCACCATTCGGGAGTTTGAGCCCAGCATCTGGCTCTGTGAGCAGAGTCCACTTTGGACACTCGGTCCCCACCCCCTCTCTACCCCTCCCCCACTGCACTCTCAAAATAACTTTAAAAAAAAGGGGGGGGGAACTTAGGGGCAGTTTGAACTCCCTGTTACAAAGCTCAACAGATTTCCACTCGTTCATGTTGTTATAGACTCATGAAGCATAAGAACGAGTATTCACGAACAGTCACTGATGAGACATTCTTAGTGGTTCTTAACCTTTGAGTCCTGGCTCTCCCTGAGGATCTCATGCAAGAGAGAAGCAGAAGCATCTCACCCGAAAATGCGAAAATGCTGTAGACCTTAAAGAGCAAAGGGCCCCAGGAAGCCCATTCATAGGCTCTAAAGACACACAACACTCAGCAGCAGGATACTATTGACTCTGAAACGAAGCCCCAAGGTTACCCAGTTGTGCCTCATGAATCAGACAAACACCACGCTCCTCTTCCACCACACCGTATCTCCCAAATGACACCACCATCCATCCTGTTGTGTGAGCTCAGAACCCAGGGGTCACCCTGACCCTCCCTTCCCTTCACATCCCTCCCAGAGCTCTCATCTCTCCTCTGCCATCGTCACCATCACCCTTCAGCAGGATCACTTTAGCAGCGTCCTGTCCAGTCCGCTCACACTCCCCCTGCTCTCTCCCTCCAACCTCATCTCTGAAGGGTGGGCTGAGTGAACTTATAAAAAAAAAAAAAAAAAAAGATCATCTCAAAACCGCCTTTGCCTACCTCACCCCTCCTAGCTTTCAATAGCTTTCCATGAAAACAAGGGAAAGTTTCATGGAAAGGAAGCCATACCATTCTATGATTGTAACAGGGACCAGTACGACCCCCAGAATAGGTAAGAGACAAACCAGGTGATGTGGGAGAAATTTAAGTGGGACACAGAAGGATTATCAAAAATATCTAGAGCCCCCATGTATATTCTCACTTACTTAGGAAACAAGTCTGTATGTGTAATAGAACCAGGGTTCAGTATAGGAAACATTCCATCTCCCCCTAATTTTAGAAATTAGCAGTACAAGGAGAAACCATTCATATCCCAAACATCTGAGATTTACTGTTAACGCCTAGGCTTATTTACATCCTTTTTAAATTCTATTTTAAAGACAAAGCACAAGCAGGGGACAGAGGGAGAGCGAGAACCTTAAGCAGGCTCCATGCTCCACACAGCCAGATGTAGGGCTCAAGCCCACAACCCTGGGATCAGGACCTGAGCCAAAATCAAGAGTCAGATGCTCAACTGAGCCACCCAGGCACTCCTTTACAGCTTTTAAAAATTAAGTATTTTGAAGATTTTATGCAACACAGAATGGAAGGGCAAATGCAGAAATAAATCAGCACAGACATCTACAAACATATTAGCAATAGGCAAAAACCATTCCAGGCATCTTTGTACATACGTGAATAGGTGGATTGATACAAGCATCAGCAAGCTAGTACTTCCTCTCATTTTTCTTCCGTCTGCCTCAAGATTTTTGTTCAGTTACTTTCTTTTACAGTATCTAGGCTTGTAACTTTCACAATCTGTCCTTTTCCGGAATTCCGAGTTGTCTAGCATTAGCTCTACCTATACTTAAATAGGTTCACATGC